GACGTTTCGGGCCTAGATCCGAAACGTCAGCCTTCCTGCTCCTCTGATGCTGCTTGGCCTGCTGTGTTCATCCAGCTCTACACCTTGTTATATTAGCTAATGTCAATTCATTTATATGTACTTTTATATTCTCCCACCCACTAGATAAAAACCAGTTGGTGACAATTACCCACATGAAAGTCAAGAGTGGTTGCCTGGTGATTCCAGCTCATAACTGTTCCTCCAAGCATCCATCTTGGACATCCGTCACCAACTTCTCTTGGCATGCCCAAGCAGCCGTTCACACATTTGAATTGATACACACTGCCCTTCCAATACCCTTGTGGCACGTCTCTAATGTACTTGGAAGATGGTTCTGCATTTAAAGTCTGCACCTTACAATGTAAATCTTCAGAATGTTGCTGCCACTATACTTTGTGTACAGTGACAGGCAGATTTAAGAACAGCTTCTTGCCCAATGTTATCAGACTTATGTATGAACCTCTCATATTAAAATTGACCTTTCTCTGCACCGTCTCTGTAGCTGTAATAATATATTCTACATTCTGTTCCAATACCCTGATGTACATACGTAAGGTATGATTTGACTAGTTAGCAGAAAATACAATACTTTTCATTGTCTCAGTACATATGAAAATAATAAGTCAAATCAAATCTCGTGGCTTAGACCAGGATGCATCTTAAGACTCCTTACTTCACACTCACTTTACATCAACTTCAATACTAACAGCAACACAGCCTCACCTTTTTGTGCTTTGCCCTCTCTGCTGGAGCTTAAAGTCCCTCACCATGTTTCTGCCTAGTAATCAAATAACACTTACAATTTCCTCCTGCATTTGCACAAACTTGTTTGTGCTACATTCATCAGAATAAAAGGTGCCCATGTCAAATATCCATGCAGAGTCATTAAATGGCCCTCCTTTCAGAGTCTTCCATATCCCACTGCATGGAGGACTATGCTAAACCCTCACATTACTAAGGACCCATTTTTTCTCTATATTCCTGATACAGGCTCATTAGAGCAGTGACCTAATGATCCAGTCACAATCTCTCAGGCTACAGTGCAACAAAGGCACAGAGATTGAGGAACAGCAGATGCAAAGCAATCTCAAGACCAGCAGCAACCTCAACCAGCTGTTGGATAGCTTCCTAATAAAGAAGTCACCGCTGAATCTTCTAGCAAGGAAATGTTCAACTGACATGGAAATACCACCGATATTCAACTAGATATAAGAAAATATCTGGAAAAATATTCGTAATTCAGACACTTATGTTACAGTTGTTCAAACTGAACACCTTCTATTCAAATTTGACAATGTACAAAATTATAAGGTTTGTTCTCCATGAAACAAAATCAACATATTGAGTACAAAGTTATTAATCTGTTGTTTCAGTGAGAATTGCTAATGCTGGTGGAAGGTAAAAAATGAATTTCTACACAATGATTCATCAAATTAATATACAACTTAGTACTGAATGACATAGACAAGATCCATATTCCGGGTCGGTACTAATAGTATACTTGTAACAGTTGAATTGTCACAATTAATTGCAGTTCTCTCGTGCTGGGTGCTAGAGCTTAGATATAGTTCCTGCTTTTGATCACTATTAGTGACCCATGCTAGACTGTTAACCATTTGTGGATGCTAGGTGAGGACAGACCATCTAAACACTCTCTAGAGTCCTTCAAGAACAGACAATCAAGAGAAGACCTAGAGGGTGGCTGGTACCCCAGGAGCGAAGCAGAAGGCAGAAAACTGTTGAGAAAAACTAACATCACATTTGTTTTTATTTGAAAGAGCAAACCTTCACAGAACCAAAACAATCTTTGCTCTCAAATAACATAACAGTTTATCAGCAAGTTGTGAATATTATTTATACACCACTGATGCTGACAAGGTACTTCATATTTCAGTTGTACCATAAAAGTAATCGAAGACTTCGGTGGAACAGAGCCTAAAAAGATACTTCTACTTTCATTAGGAAGGTAAACCCCTAGTATAGCTTCTATCGTCGAGTTTTATGCCTGTTTCTCCGTTGGTGTTTATCTTCCTCTGTACATCGACCTTCATCTCTTTGTCGTTTATGATCTCTTTCCCTACTTCTGTATCGCACTCTATCTCCATCACGCTTTTGTCCTTCCTCACCTCTCTGCTCTCTTTCCCTTCGCCTTTCCCAGTCTCGACTTCTCTCCCACTGCCGGCTATCCCTCGACAGTTCTCTGGAACTTGACCTATCTAGTTTGTCAGCCTGCTCCTCTGTGTATAGTTCTGCCTTCAATGCTGGGAGACTGATAGGTTTCCTAAATGGACGATCTCGTCCACCAAACCGTAGCTGGCCAGATTCTTTTTTACCGCCTAATCCCCCTCCAAGTCTCCGTGGGACCCATCCTTTCAAAGTGCGTTCTAATTCAAAATCCACAAATATTTCATTCTGGTCTACGACTAATTTATTGCTGTCACGATGTGCCTTTAATAATGAACGTTCATCCTTATATTCAATGAAAGCATAGCATTTGGAAAAACCAGTGACAATATCACGCACAAGTCTCAGTCTGCGGACATCCCCAAATCGGGAAAAAGTGTCTTTTAACTTCTCCTCAGATGTTTGGGGATTTAACCTGGCGACAAAGAGTGTCAGGTGAGGGTCTCCTAATACTCCTTTGTTTGGTCTGTACTTGGCTGCAATTGCCCTTGACACAGCTCGGTCGTGGGGTTCCTCATCAGTGCCATCAATGCTTCCAGCTTTCAATGGGTTGTACTGCTTCGCAATAGGAGTCCAAACTTCATTCATTGTTCTGAAACATAACCAGTTGTGAATTATACCATGAGAAGGCAGAATTTCTTTTATGTGCTTCCTTCATCACAAATTAATGCTGTTAACAGTGTCACCCTCAATCATAGCTTTGTACTTATGATCCAGGTCTGAAAAAACTAGTCCGAATAGAAGGAGCAAACAGCATCATGCTGATACATTAACTGCTTACTGTATTAAGCAGTTCACATATCTGAACCTTGATTCAAGTGCATTTTAAATGTCACAGGAGGCCAATATTTTTCTCATAAGACCAACATACTGTCCAGCCAGGACAGTCACTGCAATAAACAATGAGCAGGAATGTTGGCCATTTTTTTCACTTCTCCAACTCAAGCAATGGTCAGTTGCAGCATCCACCGAAACTGGACCAAAGTTCGAAACTGAAACATTCTTGTTATCAGCAATTCAGTTTATTGAAGGCATTGAGGATCAGTTTGAAACTACCGTTTTCCATTGATTGCCGTGCTTGGAGGGGCTGCTTTTATGAATTGTTTTCAATTTACAATGTGTTGCTGCATATATCATTTGCTAAAATAATTGAATGTGTGTGAGGTAGCACATAACAAATAGCACAACTTACAGACCTATCTATGGA